AATCTAATTTTACTAATAAAAATGTACTTTAAAAAGTTAACTGCTCTTGGGGGCCCTCTTCTGGTGACCGGTCCGGCTCTGAAACCTAGTACAGTATCTGGAGTAATCAGCTGTTTCACTGGGTGGAGAGATTTAACTGTGAATAGAAATATCAGTTTGCAGCATGATTTTTACCCTCTAGATGGCGACAGGATAAAAGCTTGACAAATGCAGCTTTAGCTCACGTATCTGTGGCCTAATTTGTTTCATCTGTCTGTGTGTGTTTGTTGGCGGCTCGGATGCTCATTTGCTTAATTGTTCCTAATGTTCAGGCGCTGAATGTCATAATGTGAATGTGGGACTGTGATGCAGGTCCTCCTCCCAAACTTAAATGGGTAACAACCATCCCGATGATGTGTTCCATGAAACAGAGAAAGAGATGGATGAATGGAGAGACTGAGAGCATTGGAGAGAGCGAGGATCCAGATCCTAATCTCATCTGGATTTATTTTTTTTTTACTCCCAACAGTGTTGCATAATGCCTTAATCCAGCGCTGTCAATCAAACTTACACAACTCTGTCTTGCTTTTCTGTGGTTGCTGCCATTTATCAGTGGCGTCTTTACATTGAGGCCAAACAACAGCTTCTCGTGGCGGAGAATAATTACGTAATGTGAATTAGATAAAATAATGTAACGTGATTCTGAAATCCAGTGTTTGAAATGAGACCCAGCAAAGACAGCAGATATGTGAAATGTCATCGTGTTAAACATCAGTATTAGTCAGAAGCTATGGTCCAAATGACACTGCAGGTTTTTCTACATATCATAGCGTATGTATCACACTTTATGTGCCTTTTCCAATTTAAGATCAATTAAACCTTTAGTGAGTGTTTGAGCGTAGATCAAGGCCATGTGTGTTCAGAGAGCTGAGTCTGCAGAATCCAGAAACTGTGCCAGGTGACACTTTAGATTAATTTCCTGCTGTGGTGTTTGTCCGCACTGGAAATGCTCGGACTCTGTCCCAGCTCTTGAGCCAGTTTTGTGAATTCTTCTCGTCTGTATTCTCACAATCGTTGTTGCCATTGATAACAGTTGCAATCCGCTGTAAATCTGATCTTAACAAATCTCAAGTCAACGACAGACATTTTACAGCCACTTTTCAAGAAATATGCAGCATCACCAAAACTGTATGCAGATATATTTGAGTGGCTTCGGTTTTAATATCTCTGCAACTTGATTTAGAATGTTCTGCTTTTGATCCCCCCGGATCACAGCTCTATCCAGAACAGAAACGCTTCGCTGCCATCCAGGGAATTATCACACAACAAACTCGACGCTCCAAATGAGGGAAATGTGTGAACAGAACTTGGGATTTACAAAAGTGCAGTAATAAACGTCAGTGGGAGCAGCTCTGCTTTGAGCTTTTCGTGCAATTAAACCGAGTGAGCAGGTCAGCAGGCCTTCTGGAAAGCGATTTGAGAAAGCGCTCGCTCAATCCGTGCAGCCCTTCACCAAACATGTTAGCCAGAATATGCTTTCACACACCTCACAACACAACCTTAATGCTTCGAGCGTGCTTAAAGGCTATGTGAGATTTATCCTAATTTGAACTGGTGTTGCACAGGACTCACACCCCAGGTATCACTTCACTTCAATTCCATCCATCCATCATATACACCGCTTAATCCTCACGAGGGTCGAGGGGGGCTGGAGTTTATCCCAGCTGACTCAGGACGAAGGCAGGGGAGACGACCAAGCTCACTCACATTCACACCTACGGACAATTTAGAATCACCAATTAACCTCAGCATGTTTTTGGACCTTGTGGGAGGAAGCCGGAGAACCCAGAGAGAACCCACGCTGCACGGGGAAAGATCCCGGGCGTCCTCACCGGGATGTGAACCAGCGACCTTCTAGCTGTGAGGTGACGGTGCTAAGCCCTGTGCAGCCCTCAGTTTTATTTATTTACCACCAATTCACGACATAATTCATCTCAAGGCATTTCACATACTAAGGTGAAAACTTTACAAAATTGTAGGGAGAAACCTAAAAAATCCATACATTCCCTTTGAGCAAGGACTTTGGTGACAGTGGGAAGATAGAAATCTTTAACCAGGAAGAACTCTTTGGCAGAACTTTGTCCAAAGAGGGCGGCCGTCTGCCTCAACCGGCTGGAGTGAGGGGAAAGGAGAGAGCACAGGACAGCAGATAGAAACCAGACGAACAACGTGTAAGAAAACAATAACCACTGTAGCGGTTGGTGAGGCCAGAAAGTGCAGATCAGAGACGTGTAGCTCTGTAGGCAAAGATTCCTGCAGAGAGGACGGACACAGAAGATGCACATGTACCATACAGTGGTTGTGGCGTATAGATGTATGAAGAGAAAAAGAGAGGAGAGTCGAGGAGAGGTGCTCAGTGCATCCTTTGAAGTCTTCCAGCAGTTTAGAAGGTACTTCCAAAATGGTCTCAGCTTCACCGGGAAACAAAGGGCTTAGCTCCAATTTGGGTGCATAACTGTATCACTGTCCACAAAAACTCAAATGTTCAAAGCATGAAAAAAGCAGAGGAAAGCTTAGAGCTGGCTGCTGTTGTTCCATGATGATGCATCCATCCACACAGCACAGGTGGCAGAAGCAGCCAGATGTCATTAACTGTTGCTTCATGCACCTTCCTCACCTGACCGCCATTTTCAGAGCGATGATGACGTCATCCATGCTGCTGAAGATCATCTGGAGCCTCAAGATGTGACCTAGTACAGCTTGAACATCGATGGAGTAAGTACATTTAAATCAAAGGAGACCGTTTTGAAAAATGATGCAAGAACGATCCTTCTCCTGTGATGTTTTCTGTCGAGGCCGAGAACTTTCTGAAATGCTCTTGTGCAAGCTTTAGGAAGGAGGAAGGTTAAGGAAGGTTTTAAAACTTCTCTCAAAAGTATTTTAAACACCAGCAGAGTAAGTCAGTTTTATTTATCTGCTTCAAGACGCCTTACAACCTGCACAGCATATGACCCCCTCTGTCCTTAGACGCTGCATTCAGACAAGAACAAACTGTCTTCTACTGGGAAAAAATGGAAAGGTACCATAAGCTCAAGTATTATTATTTTTTACATCCTCTTTGACATATGTCGAATGAAAAAGAAACAGAACAAGTTTGCTCCAGACTCACAGATGCAGCCTACATGATGTATTGATTCAAGGCCGCGGCTTCAGACACAGATTATTCTGCAGCTAATGGTTGTTTTAAGCTGCAGATTAACAATGGGTTACCATTCATGCCTCCTGTGTCAGTAGCCTATACAGATGTGAACCAGGACTTACACTAATGCATAGTGTGAGCCATCTGGGGGGCGTATAGCAGGGGATTTAGAGGTTGAAAGAGGAAGAAGAGAGGGGGTGTAAGATCGAGTTGGGAAGAATAATGTAGATGTCCAATCTTTAAACTGTTAGTTTTTGTGTTGTGTCATTCTACAGCCTCCTCTTAATCGAGACTGTTTCACACGTTGCAGCGCTCTTCATTGGCCCCACAAGACCCACATAGCTGTAGATGCATCCTCTCGTGGGTTTATGCTATTCTCAGAGGCCGCTCTGGGCTCCCAGGTGAGCTGGACTCTCTTATCCTCACTGGGACGTCATCCATCTGTCGGAATAATAATAATAAAAAAAAAACAGAAAACCCTCCTGACACTTCTGATCGTGTTTTCTGTCATGTTAAAAGCTCCTCGTTCAGTTGTGAAAGCAGGTAGGTGTGTCACGAGGAGTGTCTGTCCGGAGCACAATCACTATTATTTTGTTCTGTGTATAATTTATTTGTGTTTCAAATAAATGTTCTAAATACTGAAGACCGGAAATGAGAACGCTCTAATCCAGTGTGCCGTGTTGTGATGCTGTCATTGGTCTGCTGCTTCCAAGCTCTCCACGGCTCTCGCCTCCCCAGAGCGTACACACACACACACACACACACACACACACACACACACACACACACACACACACAGTAACACAACATCCTCTTACTCTCAGCGATGAATCAGTCCCTTTTCTCTGTTAATCCAGCTGGGTTGTGCCTCTGTGCATTGCTGTACTTTTGCAATCTGATGAATTCCCAACGGATGACAGGAAACATCACATTTTAAAGCAGCAACTTTACATTTTTTTATTTATTTTTTGGTGGGGATTTTACACAACCAGCAGGAGTTTTTTTTTTTTTTTTGACATCAGAGCCTCTCGCACCAGAGGTGGCACTCAGCTCCACGGGACTCTGCTGAGCCCAACAATGAAGTCCCGTCCAGCCACTGCGAGTGTGCTGCTGCCCGTCGCCCTCTGCCTCAGTAAGGATGCTTCTTTACTCTCCAGTTGCAGCATGAGTTGGATGTATGTGTTTGTGTGCATTCAAGTCTTCTGGGAGAAGTTTGAAAGTTGCCACACCTTTAGGGCTTTTTTCAGTTTTGCTCTCCTGTGACTTTGTCTGTTGTATATTTTCCCTCTCAAGCTGGACTCAGGTAGGAACCTAACAGAGGAATTTCATGTTTGTTAGAAAACGTCCAAAGTAGTTAAGATGGCTTATGAAGGATATTCTGTTCAGCTTGCACTGAAACTGAGGGAAAGGTTTTACAAATGCACTTAACTTGATGAAATTCTCACTGTCCTGCCATGAGCTGATTCTCTCTCCCCAGAGTGTGTGTGTTTGTGAGTGTGTGTTTGCAGCATTTTGTGTTTGAATTGTACTCTCTACCTTGTTTTTTGTAATTAGATTTTTGAAAATGTTTTACAGGCTGTATTGTTATATTGAAGAAATGCCTGCAGGAAAAACAATAAATTAACAATCATTACCGAAAACAGACAACGAGGCGCATTCATACATGATTACTATATCCATCAGGCAGACGCCCACTGAAGCTTCATCACAAATTGCAAATAGTCACGAATGAAATGTGCAAGAAAATGAATTAAAAGCCATATTGTGCATGAAGTGATTCTGTATCGAGCGAAACATAAAAACTGTGATCCATTAAAGGTGATAGAGATGATCCATGAAAGTGCTTTTTGAAGGCAGGTCGGAGAGTTGTGGTTAGTTGAGGCTAGCAAAAATGTAGTTTATATTATATATATAGGCATGTCTCCCATTAGGACTCTTCTTTGGACTTACCTCTAAAGCTCAGTTTCAGGGAAGCATCAGTGCTGCAGTGTTTGATGAGCTGTTTGAGAACACTGCTCAGTGGTAACAGTTAGGAAGGAGCAAACTGAGCGTTGCATCAAAAAACACGACAGATATCGGATGGAAAAAAAGCCACACATTCCCCCTTTTTAATCAACTCAGGTTCTTGAACTGGTTCTGTTTGAGCGAAGTGCGTTACACAACTGACCACAAAGGTAAAGTGTAGTAGCAAGATGGCGGATTGCACCGATTACCTGCAAGCTTTCATTCTGTTATTACAGATATTTGTTTTTGACCAAAAAACAAGCATATAGGCCGTCTATTGATGATGAGGTGGGCTTCTCCATCCTCTCCCTCAATTCTGAAGAACATGACACAGCCAGGGACAACCTGCAATTTTTGGCAACCATCTATTTGGGTTCTGAACCAGTTTATTTTTGATTGAAATGCTCTGAACGGTTCGACATTAGTGCCCGATGTCTCTGTACTGATAGCCTTCGTTATGAAGGTGTGACGTGAGAGTTGACAGTGCCAGTTCTCTATACAGTATCTCTGTTAGATCAAAGCGCCGCTCTGTCTTTTCCTGTTCAACGTGATGCTGCCTGTGTGCGGATTGAGTTTGGTGTGGAGCAAACCGAGCGGCCTGCACAGACCGCTGAGCTCGACCACATCCCACTAAAAGCCAGAACTCGGTTTGTGACCAGACTTCAGCGACACACGGACAAAATCTCTACAAGCAGGTTCCGAAAACTGATGTTTTAGCAGCAGATTGACGTAAAGCTGCTGCTCAGGCGTCCACATACTTCAGCTGCGTAGTTCGTTGTTAACCCTGCAACAGCCTCATAGAGTTACTTTCATCAAAAAAATCAGCGTTTGAATTCAATCAGATCTTGTGTCTCGGCTTTTCGAGAATGTTTAAGGAGAAAACTCGAGGGACGTGTTACGCATGCGATGATCGATGCACTCAGTCAGATCACACACGGTTTAGTAGTCCCACGCTGAATTTGGCTTTAAGGGTATATAATCCCTCCAGATGAATGGACTACAACATATTTCTGTATTTGTTTGATCCATCTAAGCACCAGATGGATGATGTCTCTATAGACATACAAACATTGTGCTTCACTCCACAAAATGAAATCCTCAGCTCAAAGAATCCAGCGATGTTACGTCTCTCTCATGCTGGGTTTCATACTGTGTTTACGACATTCCCATCAGTTCTGATTCAGTGATGTCATTTTGGTGTTCGAATTCAGCTGTCACTTGTCTTTTCCTCTCCACTAGGTTTGGTCCCCGTCTGTTTCGGAGCTGCAATTCCTATTTCCTGTGGGTCCATCTACAAGCGTTTTGCTCAGTGTTTACTCACACTCGGGGACAGTTTGGTGGAAACACAGAAAGACCAGAACACGCAGGACATCGATGCGATCTGCAGGTGAGTGTCACCGTGGTAACCATTCAGTCTTGCCACGTCCATCCATTGTCTTCAATTGGTAAAGTGGTGATCCTCAATGTTGTTCTCATCAGTATTGTTTGAGAGCCACAGGGCATGTTTCACCAACAGATTCACTACTTTGGTTCAGACTGTTGGATCGACTGCTATGAAAGTTTGGTGAATCCCACTGTGGTCCCCTCACTTTTTGTTTAGTGCCACCACAAGGGCGACATTTTTGGATTGTAGAGAAATGTCTTCACAGCTGTCAGATGGATCTCTATCATACACCTCTGTCTGCTTCATTTTTATTGGAGTTATTTAATTTGGTGGCATAAACAGCGTAAAGTTAGACCTGCAACTATTTTCACTACAGATTAATCATTTGGGCTAATGAACATCAGAAAGCAGGGATAAATTTCCATCACAATTTCCTAAACCCCAAGCTGGCATCTTGTAATATGCCAAGAAACAACTTTTGATGGTTCTTTAAAGCACCTTTGGGGGTTCTTTAAAGAACTGATTGAGAAAATGATTCTTTAGAGAATCTCAGGCTACAAAGGTTTTTTTTGTGGAACTAAAAAGGATTCTTCAATGGCATCACTGTGAAGAACGATTTTGGTTTCCAGTTAGCATCTGCTTCATTCTGAGTGTTTAATTTAAACACTAAAGTATTTAATTCCAATTTAAGCCTGTAAACGTGTGAAGCACGGTCTCACAAAGTAGCTGGAATGGCTGACGCGTCTGTTAACTCACTGCTTTTATCTACTTAATTCCAGATGCTGGAGGCAGCTGTTATCTATTTAAAAACATGATGCAATGAACAATCCTCTTCTTTTGTTGCACCTCTGCATCGCTAGTGAGGCCTGTATTGTTAAAACTGTGATCACCTCTGATCACAGATGAGACAAATGAATATGGAATAAGATCAGCTTTAAAGGTTTAATACGTCAAATTTCCACGTCTAAAAGTCTGAAATCAACTTGCACATAATGCAATATTTTGTCGACTTGTGTATTTGCATTGTTTTGATCACAGATATCAGCACTGAGCTGCCCTGCAATTGAATTTGCTGCATAATGTCTGCTGTAGTAGCTGTTTGCACAAAAATAAAGGTGCTGATGGGAGCCGGCATTATTGATGGGAACGCTGAGTTCAATTTAAAAACATCTTTATTTAGGAGATGGTTCTTCACATAGTTTATGTGGTTCTTTGAGGCACTGAAGGTTAATTTTTATTTTAGTTATTTTCTTTGATGTTCAGTTTTAGCATAAAATTTGAGGTTTAAAGCACCTCTTCTCTTCTTTAAAGAACCCCAAAACGTGCTTCAGAGAACCATCAAAAAAAACGTTTTTTTAAGGCACCATGAATAGAGCTTAAAAAAACTTTATGAAAAGCAGTTTATTTAAGGAAACGTTTTAAAGATAGTTTCTCACCGAGCCACATGGTTGTACTTTGATAACAGGACTCAATAATGTTAAGTACCTGGATCTGGATCTGGATCAGGATCTGCAGCATTTCTGGGTCCGTTCCATTATAATACATTTAATATTTTGGGTTCTGGACTGTTGGTTAAATAGAACAGCATATCATTAGATGCCATCTGGGGATTTAGGAAATGGTGATGGGCATTTCTCCTGGTTTTCTGATATTCTATAGATCAAATGATTAATCAATAATACAAATAATTGTTAGCTGCAGCACTCATTTTATGCTGTTACTTGCCACCAGACCAAATACCAAAAAAATAAAGAACCTTCAATTCTGTCACAATAATCACATAAAGAACGTGAACAACTATCATCTAAATAAAGAGGTTCTTAAGTTGGTAATGATGCTTTGAAGAACCAGAGAGTCTTCTGAAGAACCACTAAAGAACCATGATTTCTCTGAGGGTTGGATCGTCGAATCTTGTAACAACTAATGATAACAAAACTTTAATTCCATCGTCCATGTACATGATTTCAGCTTGAGTCATGTCAGACAGATTTTTATTACCAACAGCGTTGAACATTTCCATGATTTCATGCTACGTCACAACATCATCTGTCTACGTCTTTTGTTACTGTCTTCACTTAGAGACTCCTCGTGGCAGAGATTACACACTGTGTGTTGAATTAGTAGTGATATTCATTTACAACTAGAAAAAGAGTATTTGACACTGGACTGGAATCCATTATTTCCACTGCCCTCTCTTCAGTCTGTTGCTATTGGCGGTGGTCAGAGTGGTGCTCTGTTGTACCTGTACCACTGTTCAGTGGTACAGGTACAACAGAGGGTTAAACCCCTGCAGTGAGCACATTTTTAGAAATGTTAATTACTACTCGGCTGTTAATCTCCTCACTGTACAACTGTTCATGTGCACACACAGTCCTGCAGAATGATGCTTCACTACAGCTGCTACCTTTCTGCCCTTAACGCTGACATTGTCTCCACCTGTCCTGGTTCCTTGAAGGTCCTGGAACGCGTTCCATGTTTGTGCCAACTCGGCTCTGGCCGGCTGTCCTGGAGAAGCAGCAGCTGTCTGGGAGTCTCTGAGACAGGAGTCCAGGAAGACGCAGTTCTCTGGAAACCTCTACGCCATGTGCGCCAGCCGCACCACCGTCCCGCCCAGCACTGTGCCTGCACCCCAGAGCCCCCCGACCTCAGACCAGACCAACCAGGAGACGCTGAAAGGGCAAACACACCACCACAGCCCCACCCTCATCACACTGTTGCTCCCTGTCTGCAGCACGCTGCTAGTTCTGCTCAGGAGTTAGTGAACCCACGTTAGCTCTTTAACAATCAGAGTGATGCCGGCTGGTCGTCAGAGTCCTGCTCCCCCGACAATCCAAACACATGAGGGCAAACACTCTGTACAAGTCATCATGATCAAATGTTGATCCTAAAATAAGGATTTCAGTCACTGGATCACTACGAAACACTTGTTCAGGGTTTCTTACATGGACAAGGTGATGCACATATAATAGTTTTATCACTGATTATCATATGCCTTGATTTCAGATAGAAGTTGTTTTCATTCTGACCTGAATATTTAAATCAAGCATACTGGTAGCTGTCCATCATCACCTAATATCAGAGGACTGTGCAACAACTGCAAGTGTTTACCTGACTGATTAAATACACTTTTTATGAGTGTCAACAACAATGTAGGAGAAAATGAAAAATCTCTTTTACTTACCGGCGTGACTCAACTAAAAAAAAAAAAAACTAAAACACCCTCAGTTATAGACAAATGTATGTCATAAACACTTTTATTTATTTATTTTACCACCGCCGCAGTTCATCAGTAATGCCGCCTGATTTTAGGACAAAGGAGATTTTCAGGGATGTTTCAGTGCCAGGTGTTCGGATCTGCTTGTGATCCAATCAGGTGTGATCCAGAGGACAGAATTATTACTGGGTGCAAAGCAGTGTTTTTTGTTTTTTTTTTGTATGTGTGTGTGCGGTGGCTTTAATTCATCACCTCGTTTGACCGGTTTAACGAAAATCAGACTCGTGTGTGGAAGGACCGTTTTGCTAAATGGTGTCATTTGTTTAAAACTGAGCCGTTACACACAGTTTTTCCAGCTTTCAAGAAGTTTTTTTTTTTTGTATTTTGAATGACTTTAGTTAACTTTATCAATTTAATATGTTGACATGTCCCCTGTGGGGCAATTAAAAAGTTAGCACAGCTAGGGGTGATTGGTTAGCCGAGTGGTTGGGGTGCAGACCACAAGGGCGCAAATGCCTTCAGATCCCGGTTTGATTTCCTTTCCTGCATGTCCATCCCCTTCTTCCCTTTCACCTAAACATCCCTCCACTGTTTAATAAATGCCAAAAGACATCTTTAAAGAAAAGTATATATAACTGAGCGTTGGCATCTCAATAAAACACAAAACAAAAATAGTGCAATAAATATTTACCGAGCACCAAAAAGAGTTTAAAAGTGTGAGAAATATATATATAGATATGTATATGGGAGTCAGCAGTGGGAAGAGGATGTGGGACGTTTCCAAGTGTTTCCCAAGTTTCATCCTTGAATGTCATTTAATGTTGTACAACTTCTTTGATGCTGATCGAGCTCTGTTATCACACACTTCATTTGATTCACTGGTGTTCATGTCACCAGTGTGTGAACTGTATTATTTTGTAGTTTTGCATCATTTTAATGTGTTTCTCAGCATCATAGAGTGGCACACGCCGCTTTGTTTCACCTAACAACAATGTAAATTAAAGTTATAATAACACACATCACGCTTTGGTATTTTGAGAGTGACTTCAACTTCTTGACATGATCTGCTTTTGTGTCAGATATTGTGTGTGTGTGTGTGTGTTGTCTTAATACTCTTAAGCTGTTTCATAACAGCAGAATCACGAGTGCATTAATCTGTCTTTATTCGCCCACCGTGGAGCAGGTTGCACCTCACAACAATCTTGACGTCCTCAAAGTGCTGGAAGTAAAAGGTGACTGGTCGTGTGACATGCTGTCATGCCAACGCTGTCGTGAAGTGAGCAGATGTGACAGCTGAGGGTGGCGGGGGAAAACGGCATCACAACAGCCTGCTGAATTTAGGAAGTTACCGCCCCGCCCGCTGACTGTTACACTGATCAAGGTCCAGGTCACCTCAGGTTCACAGGTGGTTAATTTGAACGGTGCTTTTTCACAGCTTTAGGTGTAAATGTTTTTTTATTTTCAAGAGGATGGTGTTTGATTGGTCTGAAATCAGTCATACTGTTAGGGTTCAGTCTGATAGAGATGTGTGTAGAAAACAGGGGACACCAGGAAGCATGTGAGGGAAGCCGAGTGAGGGAGGGAATTCCAGGGGAGGTTTCCAAGAGGGACCGGGAGGCAGGACGGCTGAGGCTGTGGAGCTCGGCTGCAGAAGCTGGGCCGGGGAGGTGTTGATCTGAAGGGGAGGTTCTGGCAGGAAACGCAGACAAGAATAGACGCAAGACAACACAAGTTTTCTCAAGGCACAACGTTTCTCAAAGCACAAGGTTTCTCAGCAAACGGGCCACTCGAGGGAGGACAATCCACTGGCGCTGGAGCACAGGTGGATGCAGGCTTCATCCAGTGCTGGTTACTGATGAGCCTCAGGTGTGGAGGAGAATGAGTGAGACCTCTCCCGTCCGAAAACCCCACCCAGCCTGAGAACACACTTGCAGCCACCAAAAACACAAGCACATACACTAAATTGCTATTTATTGCTTGTTGTTTAATGCTTTTATTCCTTTGCTTTTATCCTGTGAAGCATCTTTGAGTTCTTGAAAAGCGCTATACAAATAAAATGAATTATTATTATAGTTATTCTAAACAATGTCTCACATTAAAAGCACAAAACTCGGATCACCACACATACTGCACTTCAAAAAGTATCTGCCTTTTGTCTACCAATATGTGTTGAAAAGCCAGAACAGAACCATGATTTGGACATGATGTCTGATTTTCTCTACAGCAGTCAGTCTGCACAAATCATGACAGATCACCGTGAACACAGAGGAAGAGATTCAAAGCTGTTACACCCGACTGAACGTTAGACCTGGGTGGAGTTTTACATTCCAACATATAGAGGCGTTACCGTAGATCAGGGGTGTCGAACTCTGGTCCTCGAGCGCCACAATCCTGCATGTTTTAGATGTTTCCTTCTTCCAACACACCTGATTCAAATGATCAGGATCATTATCAGGCTTCTGCAGAGCTTCATGATGAGCTGAACATTTGAATCAGGTGTGTTGGAAGAGGGAAACATCTAAAACATGCAGGATTGCGGCCCTCGAGGACCAGAGTTCGACACTCCTGCCGTAGATTGACTCACAGTCTAAAGGCAGTGAGTTTGAGTAAGAGTGGACCTGTGTTTATATTATATATATATTATAACCAATTAAAGACAACTAACTAATAAGCAAATAAAGACTGGCCTGAAGCCAAGTTTGTCATCTTTCTCCGGTGATTCAAACAGAATACTGATTAAAAAATAAAATAAAACATTCCTCAGTCAATCAGTCAGACTTGATTTGTACAGCTTTACAGAGCAAAAAGGAAAATAAAACTTACACTTGACTTCCACTAAAGTACATTTCATTGAAAGTTATTTGCATCTTCTTTCAGTCTCTTCAACTCCACTGATGCGCTTGGGCATCTTCCTTTAGAATAAGATAAGGGTTTTTTCTTTGCTCTCGAGTCCTGAGATAATTCTGGAAACAACACATGCCTGGAGGATCACCTGCTAAGTCTCTGAACTGTCTCACAACACCTTGATGTGGCTCTAAACTCTCTTTGTCCTGCATTCACTGGAGAAAATCTGCAGCGTCACCACAAAGTCTTTTTTAAGGAGCCCCGCGGCCCTCGTTCTGTGCACAGCTGTTAGAACGTTGAGATACAACGAGAGCGTTCCTACCTCAGATCCATCATCCCCTCTGAAGTCGCTGATGCAGAACGACAATCACAGGATGCTCTGTGATCTGCAGCAGATGGTGTGTAGCATGAAACATGGTGGGGATTATGAATTCCACGTGTAGGACATTGTGCTGTCCGATCCATACTGCAAGGATTTTACTTCACTATGACATATATGCTACAGCCCTGAAAGCTGCACGGCAACTCTTTATGCATGAGTCTGTGAGCAAGACATGAAATAAATATGAAATCAATAGTCTAACGTCTGTTGGCTACTTCCCTTTGAAGCTATTTTTATGGGAATCCAAAGTCAGAGTTTCAGGTATGCTGTAAAGATTGTAAACCTAATTTATGTTTAGTGAACACAAATCCATAACAATGAGGCTCATTTGTTGATACATGTTCCATTATTACAGATAGATTATAGTCTCCCCTCTTATCTGCAGTTATCCTCCTGCTGATTGGCTTTGTTCCTTCTCTCTGCAGGTTATATGTGTGTTTGTGTGATTCAAAGGATGTAGACTAGATATAAGTCTGCCATTGGCTACATACTTCACAAGTCCTTGTCCTTCCTTCACAATATATCCATCCATCCATCCATCCATTCATCCATCCATCATCTATAAAGTGCTTAATCCTCACTAGGTTTGCAGGGGGGCTGGAGTCTATCCCAGCTGACTCAGGGTGAAGAGACAGACAACCAAGCACACTCACATTCACACCTATGGACAATTTATAATTACCAATTAACCTCAACATGTCTTTGGACTGTGGGAGGAAGCCGGAGAACCCGGAGAGAACCCACGCTGCACGGGGAGAACATGCAAACTCCACACCTGGTGTCCTAACCAGGATGCGAACCGGCGACCTTCTTGCTGCGAGGCAACGGTGCTAACCACAGCTCCACCATGCAGCCCCTCATAGTATCCCTGTTTCATTTTTACAATTCCATTAACTACTGGAAGCAGCAACCTACACGCTAAAAATGGCGCATTTTAGCAAAGACTGGGATCGTGCAATAAGACGGGCCTGCTTGGTTCTCTTCATGAATGCTTGTAAAGATCTACAGAAAATGCAGAATGTTCACAACATTCACTAGAGAACAGGAAAGTTCTGCCATGAAGTTCTTCCATGCAGCAGTTATTTTTAAATAATTTAACTTTTTAAAAAAAGTTAAATTTTCCAAGCCAGTTCTNTCACACCTACGGACAATTTAGAATCACCAATTAACCTCAACATGTCTTTGGACTGTGGGAGGAAGCTGGAGAACCCGGAGAGAACCCACGCTGCACAGAGAGAACATGCAAACTCCACACAGAAAGATCCCAGATGTCCTAACCAGGATGAGAATCGGCGACCTTCTTGCTGCGAGGCGACGGTGCTAACCACTGAGCCACCGTGCAGCCCCACATTGTATTGTTTTACAGTTCCATTAACTACTGGAAGCAGCAACGTACACACTAAAAATGGCACGTTTTGACAAAGACTGGGATCGTGCAATAAGGCGGGCCTGCTTGGTTCTCTTGGTGAAAGCTTGTAGAGATCTACAGAATATGCAGAATGTTCACAACATTTACTGGGGAACAGGAAAGTTCTGCCATGAAGTTCTTCCATGCAGCAGTTTTGGAAAAAGTTTAATTTTCCAAGCCGGTTCTTGACATTATTTTACAGGAGCACTGCTGCTGGATATCGCCTAAAGTAAAAATGAATATATTGGACTTCTGCAGAGGGCTCTATGTATGGATGACAAGATTTACACCATGTTCACCCTTACAGAGCATGAACTGACCTGAACAGGGGGGTCCACGGATATATTTTTGCTCTGGAATCTCTTAGATGGTAAATCCGGCCATGCTGTTGTTGTACATGTGCCGTTTGTCTTCTCGGCTGCCTTCTTACACTTTTAGACTGTTTATTTAGACAATGTACATCTGGTCTTTGACACATCTTATGATATTTCATATAGCATAAAATGTAATTTTAGGTCAGCTGCTGCTCCTTCAGTTCTGTGCATCACAGACAGACATAAAGGCACGAGGGAGAGCGGACACAAGCAAACATTCCCACTTTAGTGTCAAATGTGTCACCTTAGAGCGAAATGCTCAAGACTCAGGAGGTCCAATTAGACCACGTTAGTCGCGTGTGTGCGCCTGTCTACGTCTATATATGGCACAGCTACCATCACCAGGTTTACTTCTGCAGAAAGAGAGCGAACCAAACACCTGGACTGTAAGTGAGAGGTTCTCAAAGGAGTCCTTTTCCTCTGGTGCTGGAGTTGTCTGTCAGGGATCATGGAGGAACTGGCCCGGGAGAGCATCAGCCTGCTGGCCCGCTCTGCGTCCCACTCCGACCCGCCTCGGCTCGGCTCGTTTGGCGCCGTGTTCATCATGCTGAAGTCGGCGCTGGGAGCCGGACTTCTCAACTTCCCCTGGGCCTTCCAGAAAGCGGGAGGAGTGACCACCGCCATCAGTGTGGAGCTGGTGAGTCCGCTATAAAAAGCTCTAGTGGTGCCCTGAATCTTAATGCACTTCCCAAAGAACACCGTGGAACTTTTAAACTGCAGATTCATTAGTTTTATCAGCTTGAGCTGAAAATGTGACTCCTGTGTGTGTTTAGTCTGAGTGTTCTGGAGGTCTGGTTGAGCTGCAGGCCTCCAACACGCACAGTAAACACTCACTATCCTTGTCACTGTCTCCTGGGTGTGAAAGAGGCACATATTTTTCACAGGTGAGCTCTAATGAAGCTTCCAGTTTAGGTGAGAACCTGGACTTTCACTGTACTGCAGACAGTCACGACAAAATGTGTGTGTGTGTCATGGATGGATAACGGAATGCTTTCCAGGAAAGGACCCAAGAGGTCAGGGGCCTCACATGGCGACTCAACTCAGTGTCTCAATCATGTTTTACTCTTTTATATTGGATATTAACACCAAGTCTGATCCAATATGTGGCTGTAACATATAATGAGTTTCACTTGGATGCAGTAATGTCACAATAAAAGCAGAAAAAATGGCTAAATTGCTTTGAAAGCAGAATATTCTTGATTGTTTGTATAATTTCTTACAGTAAGCTGCAGTAGTGGAAACGTTTAGAAAGCATTTAAATTTTAACAACTAGTCGATTATCTTTAGCATTTTAATAATGAACCAATATTTGACATTTTTGGGGGCAGAAATGCAAAAACCTAATAGTTTTCAAGTCTACAGATGATGATATTTGAGTGTTTTCTTGAGGTACCTGTTCATCACTTCCCATCATGTGCTTCTGGTCACAAGTCGAGGGAAGATGCCTTTTACACATCAGTGCTCAGGGCCTCATTGTCTCATTACCTGATGTATGCGCCTGTTTGTGTAAATATCACTCTGGTCTGTGAATGAGGATTCTGAGCTCCCCCCCCTCCAGGTATCTCTGGTATTCCTCATCAGCGGTCTGGTCATCCTCGGCTACGCGTCGTCCGTCAGCAGACAGAAGACGTATCAGGACGTGGTGAGAGAGGTGTGTGGACAAGCCGTGGGTCAACTCTGCGAGGTCTGTTTCTGCTTCAACCTCTTCATGATCAGCGTGGCCTTCCTGGTGGTGGTGCAGGACCAGCTGGAGAAACGTGAGTGCGACTGATTTACATGCTTCCTCTTTGTCTCAAGCTCCAAAGCTACGTAGTCAAGTGCAACTTATCTTTAATAAAAATCACATCTCATGGGGCCAGTTGCCACTTGATGTTGTGTGGCACTGTCAAACTTCTTTTAGTTGACATTTTGCACGTCTTTATTTCTAGTTTCATTTCACATTTAAAAGCAACTGGAGTTGATCTGAGTCTTTTCTCAATTAGATTTAAAAGGTTTAAATCCATCAAGGTATCAATGTCTTTTAAACAGTTAAACAAGGGTTGCACTGAGTCTGTAATTTTTATTTTTAAGTGCAGATAGATTGGTATGTCGTCTGCGAAACAGTGAATTGGAATCTGATGTTTCTTAACTATGGATCGCAAGAGCAGCATACAGAAAGAAATTAAAAGTTGTGGATAATAAACAATGAAAATCAACTGTGCATTCTCACACAGCAAGAACAAATAATATGAAATACAACCGTCATTTTAGCATAATCTGCAAGTAATTTACTAACCCACATATATAGATAGATATGCACTGCTCCTACAGGGTTTATTATCAGAGTAGCTGATAGAGTTTGTGATCAATTTCTTAGCATATAAATATAAATGTATTAAAAATCATCTGCGCTTTAATTTTCATTTCAACCAGTATTAGTCTAAATATGTGATCAGGACTAGTAATGCATCCCCTTTTTCCTGTTTTGTCCATCTGAAACCCTTCAAATCCCGATAATGTTTTTGCTCTGTTCCCATGTATTTGATTGGATTCACAAACACACACATTAAAATATCTTCAAGGACAAAAACATGTACAGGAACCCTTCATGGAACTTATCCCACCATTAAAACATCATGAACCACGTTGTTTAGCAGAATGGAAAATGTAAATGAGTCTTTCTAAATCTTGACCTGCCCTTTGGGATTTCATGTTGTACTGATGTCTTCATAACGTTCACTGTGACTCTGCGTTTGTCCGTCCAGTGTGTATTTCTTTGTATGAGACGGTGACCGGGTCGAGTGAGGGGGAGATGCCGTATCACTGGTACACTGACCAGCGATTCGCCCTCTTCATCATGTGCCTCGTCATCATCCTACCGCTGTCCATCCCAAAGGAAATCGGTATCCAGAAATACACAAGGTACTCGGCACTTCCCTGTGTTCAGAAAGACATCTGGCTGAGCGTAAATGTTTGTGTGAGCTCATCGTTTCTCTTCATGTCAGTGTGTTGGGGACGTTGGCTGCTACGTATCTGTGTGTGGCAGTGATCGTCAAATATTACCTGATGGACAGTCACACTGCCGTTATAACTCCAGAGCACAGCCAAGGGTCAGTAGCTTCGATTTTTAATGGGTCCATGTGTTTCATGTGGCTCCTGTCTTCATGACCTGTGTAAATGTCTTTCAGTGTGAGCTCATGGGCATCAATGTTCAGCGTCGTACCAACCATTTGCTTTGGCTTCCAGGTAGGAATCACCTTCAGGCACATAAGAGACCAATTACACAATATAACAGCTGTTCACTTTACTTTTAAATTGAGTCTGTTCTTGTCAGATTATGACAGGTTGTATTGTCAGAGAAAGTTTCATATTTACTACCTGTTTGGTTTCTATGCATATTATCATCCTGTTTCTATGAATTAGATTAGATTCAACTTTACTGTCATCACACATGTACAGGTACAAAGCAATGAAATGCAGTTAGCATCTAACCAGAAGTGCAATAGTGCAGATTATGAAGTGCAGCTATAGTGTTAAAAAAAATATACACATACATATAAACTATGGTATTTACATGAATATATGGTATGGTGCATATTTACAAATGGACATGTGCAATGGACATACTGACAATACAACAGTGAAGTGGACATTAAAAAAAGGCCGGTGCGTAATCTGTAAAAGCAGTAAACAGTAATTACAGTGCAATGTATAATTAGTGCAGATACTGGGCATAAGCTATATCTTGGTGTGCAGAGACCATTAGATCAAAGAAGCTCCCATCCTCTGCAGGAATTATCTCTTTCGCCCTGACACTAAATTAGAGTCCTCAGTCTGTGCAAGGAAGGAGAAGAAGACAAACACTCAGATGTAACTTCTTAATGAGAGCTGGTTTTACAACATGAAAATGGTCGTCAACAAAGCTAATTCACAATAAATGTATTTGCAAAAAATTCCATGAGGTGTTAATATTTTTAAAAGCAGCTATCAGGAAATATTCACCTCCTGTAACAAAGTCTGTATGTAAAGCTGGATGAACCCAAGGTGGCATCACCCATAGCTTTCCTGAACAGTGGTTAAGTATGTTGGTTTTGGCTGTCAACATCTTGACAGTTCCTGAAAAATGTGAAAAATAGTGGAGTGTTAGTGGAGCTCAGGTGGGCCAACACCATCCTGTGATGTCACCCAACTTTTAGCATTAATACAATTTAAATAGGTGAGTTGTGTAAAAATGTAACCTCCATATAGATGTCACGGACAAGGAAAGCAGCTGGAGACAACAATCGTTTTTTACACCTGACTATAAACAAGTTTATTTCTGCTATAAAGTTGAACATTTTAGCTCCGGTCCTCATGAGCTACTGTCCTGCAGGTTTTAGACTTTTCCGTACCGCAGCACACCTGACTCACATTAATGGCTCATTAACAGGCCTGTGTAGAACTTGTCAACAAGCCGTTGGAGATCCATTAATTTGAGTCAGGTGTGTCGTAGTGGAGAAACGTCTAAAACCTGCAGGACAGTAGCTCAGGAGTTGGAGATCCTGGTCTAGGGGAATTGACTTTTGGAGTCTGCCTCGAGTGGCCATTTATGGAACTGCATCTCTGAAAATGGCTTCGTTATTCAGGAGGTTGCTACTTGACTTACACACATTTCAACATTAAATTATTCAAAATGTTTGATAAACAACAAACCTTCAAAGCCTCCTTACAAGCTTTTTCTTCTGCTTTTGAATGCATCACACAGGTGGAAAGAAAGGTCACTAAAGGTCACAGAATTAATCACCGGTATCAAACTATTCTAGTGGAGTCCTCATCTGATTGCCGTAAATACAATCCAAAACAAAGGCTATCTACGTTACTGGATGTGTATGCATGAAGTAAACAGAAGCAGAGGAATTTTCATTTAAAACTTGTGCAATGATGGGTGTGTTTGTAATTTCTGTATTTAGAAAGTTGCTAATTTAATTACTCCTCAAAACGTACATACATGTGGAAATGCACTGATGTGAAGTTTACTGTTTAATATACTCAGAAAAAGGAGCATCCCACAGCTCATCTGTAAGCAGGAAAAAATAAATAAAACAGTGTCAGTAATGTGTGTGTGTGTGTGTTTGCAGTGCCATGAAGCCTGCATAGCAATCTACAGCAGCATGGAGAACCAGAAGCTCTCCCACTGGGTGGTCATCTCTGTGCTCTCCATGTTCTTCTGTTTACTCATCTACACTTTAACCGGTGAGTTCACCTCTGAAACATCCCTCTACGTGCATCATGTCCTTCCCTTAAAGCTGCTAATCTCTTTTCCCCTCCGTCCGTCTGCAGGCGTGTACGGCTTCATGACGTTTGGACGAGCCGTCGCCTCAGATATTCTGATGTCGTATCCAGGAAATGACGTGGTCATGATCATCTCCAGACTACTTTTTGGAATATCAATCATCACCATCTATCCCATCATTCTTCTTCTGGGGAGGTACGTCACACCAGAGTGGAAATGCTTTGTGTTGTGTGTGTGTTTACCACCGTGTTGTGTCTCTGTGTGGAACAGGTCTGTCGTCCTGAACCTGATGTTGAGGGTTCAAAGACGTCGCAGAGGAATCGTCACTCATTCGTTTGAGAGCCGCTGCAGAGTCGCTCTGACTGTGGTCTGGATCACTTTTACTCTCCTTATCGCAATGTTCGTCCCGGACATGGGGCAGGTCATCAGTGTCATTGGAGGAATCAGCGCCTTCTTCATCTTTATCTTTCCTGGTACAAACAAACTTAATGTGTGTGTGTTTGCAATGACACATCGACATTTGCTCTGATGTGACAATAAAGGTATTCACTCCCCTTTGGAACTCATTTTTTAACCTTTGATTGCCTTTAGCTTTGAATCATGGTGAATGTAATTTGGCTTTACCAAATGAAAGAATTTACAAAAAACAAGACCAGTTCATGTCAAAGTGAAAACAGATTTTTACAGTCATGTCAATAATTAAAAATACAAAACATAAAATACACATTTTCATAAATATTCACCCCCTTCAAACTGATTCTTCTAATTCAACGCACATGCAGGCAGTTTGTACAAGAAGTCACACAGTTAATGAAGTGGAGATCATCTGAGTGCAGTGAATGTGTCTCAGGTGATTGTAATATGCAGACCTTGAATCAGTTCTCCTGGATGTAACTACACCACGAAGGCTAAAGAACACTTAGAAACAGCTGCATGAAAAGGTTAGAGAAAAGCATACGCCAGGGGGTGGAAACACTTCCAGTTCACTGAATAGTCCTTCCTAACTTATTTGATTTTGTATTTTGTTAAAGAATTTGGTAGAAGCCTGTTTTCACTTTGACATGAAAGAGTCTTTTTTTGGCAAACTCATGTCAATAAAACTTCAATAATTCGACGTTGAGAAAAGGCCGTTGAAGTTACAACTAAGGATTGTTTCATTCAGTTATTTTCTCAGTGAAAAAAAAAAATCTGTCAATCATTTGTTTGATTAATTATTTAATTTGTAAATTGGACCAACTTGTGAGGAAGGTGCTACAAATAAAGTTTGATTGAAGGTGCGATTGACAGCAGTTTGGTAACTCAGGGACTTTGGTGTGTTTTTATGCTTCGCAGGTCTTTGCTTGATGTTCACGATGCAATCTGACAACATCTCTCCAAGAGTCAGGTGAGTGGACATTACTGTAAAGAGTCACTGACTGATATTTTCCAAAATATATTTTTTTAAAGAAGTATAGAAAATACAGATGGTGTACAACAGCCAAAGTTCTTATTAATGAACCCATTTAACATGCAAACTGTAACATTTATTTATAGCTAAACATACATCGAACATCTCTGGAGGATAAAAATTTAAAAAATGAATCAGTATTAACTGGAAATTATTTTTTGATGCTATTGTGGAGTATATTTCCAGGAACATTCAAAGAAAAGTAGTAAGACATCAACAGCAAACAACAGAAAGACGACATGTGCTGCCTCCCAGAGTAGATTTGATCCACTGTCTTATAACTGGAGGATATTTTGGATAAAGAAAAGACCAATAAAAGATTATGACTTATTGCTTTACAGAAGATAACTTTTGTTTAGTGTTGTAATTTCTGTTTAGACTAATCTGCGCTGATCTTTTCAGGGCCATTTCAACCGTCTGGGGAGTCGTAACAATCGTAGTTGGAACCTTCATCTTCGGACAGAGCACAACCATCGCTGTGATGGAGATCTTCCAGAATTTCTAAATGTTTTTTTCTATGCCACCATTATCACCACTACCTGCAGCAGCTGCTTCACTGTGACGCTCATCTCTTTTGCACAACTGAATGTTGCATTTGTACAGGTGGTTCTCAGATGTGCATGTGATCCTTATCTGGTCGTCTGTGGCCAGATGTATTTATGATGTCAGAATGTAATATTGTCTCGTGTGCATGTGTGTTTTCCCTGTTCAGTGTGTGTAGAAAGAACATATTTATGCTTGAATATACATTTCTTTTATTATGTGCTACATCAACAATATACCTACAGTGTCTGTTTGTTGTACTTCGATGCTACCAGGGGGCAGTGTTGCACCATGTAGGAGTTATTTATTTTTCTGTGTAGTTTCCATTCACATGTGTGCGACACTGGCAACACAGATAGGAGCAAACTGTTCCTTATCATCTGTATTCTGGTCCCAGTGACAATCTTGACATGATAACGGCATGTTTAAATGAACCACGCAGGGAAATATGCTTTTTTTAATGCAAACAGATAGAGTCATTGTCCTTGAAATGCTCGTTTACATCCACCAAGTGATAACATGAGTGAAGGTTTCCTTTTTTTTTTTTTTTCATTTAAGTGTATGATTCTAATCTTTTCCTTGCACTTTTCAATTCTCTCTTGGACTGACCTCGCCGCGGCCTGAATCATAGCAGTGATATAAATCTGCAGCTTTCATTGAGCACAGAGTGATGCCTGAGGTGTGCTGAATATAACTGTTTATTGTTTATTGACTTCGAGCTTAAAGGAGTTATGGTGCACCGCCTGCGAGCGTGCATGTGTGTTAGTGTATGAGTGAGTAATGATTTACAGTAAATCCAGAGACTGTGCGTTGCATCTGTGCCTGCAGGGGTCTGATTTAAAACAACATATCAGCCATGCAAACTACACGCAGCACTTATCTGTCTGACTACACGCACGCAATTAAAATGACTTTCATTAAAAATAGACCATCTAGAAATAAACAGCCGCCCCTTATCAATGCCTCAGTTATGTAATAGATTTTTCTCATCTTGTGCGGCGTTAATGTCCTTAAGGGAAAACCTCAAACTGGGATACTCGGCTTGTGTTTAGCCTGTGGGATTATATTTCAACCTGCTGGCCCAATGACTAAATCCACTAAATGCAGGAGAAAAAAAAAATCCTTGGAAATCTCATGAACTCCTTCTTGAGTCCTGCAGCTTCATTTGCTGTAAACCATCTTATGGGTTCATAAAGGAAAGTCAACACCGCTGGGAAATACAACTAATATAGAGCTACCGAGAGCTATGTGTTGACTGTCTGTCATCATTTCAGACTTTTCTGCCTCAATAAATGAAAGAGTTGCAAC